ATGTCTGGAAATAAGTCATATATTGAGCAATGGATTCCTGTAGTAGAAGGTTGCTCCATCAAGGATACTAAATGTCATTGGATGCATTTCCGTAGTTGTGAACTGTTTTAGGGAATTTTTTTTTCCAAACCTCACACATGGCACTTTGAGCGGCAAGGAAAATTCTGGAGAACCTTCTCTGAACCTGACAAAAATCTATTATGAATAGAATTACACCAAAAGGAAGATTTATAAGTTTGATCATGGTGGTTAACACATAATGATAAAAATGAGATAGCATCCCAGTGCCATTCCAATCCTCGATTCTAAACGCACTTGATGATTCTAACTTTCACATTTATGGAAGTGTATCTGATCTTTCAGAAAGTGTGAGCATTCAACAAACACCTTTCAATACAGCTTTTCTACTATATGGAAAGAGAGTAGCAGATACATTTCTGTAGATGGCCTCTAGCACGTATTCCGTAGGAACGTGGTAAAGCAGTTAGCACAGCAGTGTGGACAAACTAAGGCCCCAATCTAGCAATTTTTGATAAACTTTTTAAATTATTTAGTAATTTGGATGAATTTTCAAAATTATTTAATATTTTGATATATACTTCTCTCTCTCTGTATTAGTTTTTGTTTATTGAAAATGGGTGTGTTACGTGCAACTGGATTTTATACTTATTTCTGCACAGAGCACTTTGTTTAAGTATTTAGCATTTAAGTCACTTCTGCAGAATATTTTCTTTTTCTGTGGGAATGGTAAGTACACCTGAGAATACTCTATAGACGCCTGCTCTGCTGATGTGATTGTACGGATATAGATAATTACACGAGTTGCAGAACTTCATGACTCTCCTAAAGGATGATGAGTGACTAGACTGTATCAGCAGTTCAAACCAAACCAACCACATACAATCTGGAGCTGCCAGAAAGGATGAGGATGGAAACACCTGCTCCAGAAATAGACCCAGTGACGTGCTAAGTGGCAGTCGAGTTTCCCATTTATTGTGCTTATTCACAGGCAGGGATTTCCGGCGTTATTGTGCTAGATTTGGCCTCCATGGGAAGCTGGGCCAAGAATCTCTTTCCTGTGACTGCATTAAGCTTCCTGCATCCTTTTAAATGCAGACGTAGTGTACCCATAGATTAGAGCTATAACCCATGGCTACTGTTGTTACACAATGCAATAAAGATTTTTATTTTTTTATTTTTAAAAGAACAACATTTACATTTTTTTATTTAGAAAAATTATTCTTTTTTTATATTTTTTGTTACCATTGTTAAAAAGTTAAAAACTGTAGAAATTACAGATTCTCTAGCTCAAGGTAAAACATGATCATGCAAATTCGTGGATGGAAAATATGATATTACTTTTCATTTAGCAAAAAGTATACTGGAAAGTGTATATATACACATACATGCATATAGAGACAGACACAGACATAAACATATAGTTAGTTTGTAAATTGAGACAAACAAAATTGTCTTTTTTCTGTGCTATGGGATAAGAATTGCTTGAAAAGGGACACCATGTTATCGCTACGAGATCATACACTTTCTTATAGTTCTGCAACTCATTAACAAGTGCATGGCAAGGCAAGTAAATTTTTAATGTGGTTTTACAAAGATTGTGCAATTCCGTATGACACCTCTGTGCAACCACTCCCCTATACTCACCTTAGATAACACCTTGTAACTGACATAAAAATCTCTTTGACCTACATTTACTGTAACATACCTCCTGCAGAGATAGCTGCCATTTTTAAAACCTATGAATTGCCCAGGACCAGATGGCTTCATTGGCTATCAGCAGCACCTAGTGCAAGGCTTCTGCAGTAAAACCGGGAGTAGAGGAGGAGGCACTTTGAGAACAGTCACTATCTGGAGTTAAACAGATTGCAAACAGTTTAACCCCTTAAAGGACCACTATAGTGCCAGGAAAACATACTCGTTTTCCTGGCACTATAGTGCCCTGAGGGTGCCCCCACCCTCAGGGACCCCCTCCCTCCCGGCTCTGGAAGGGGGACAGGGGTTTAAACTTACCTTTTTCCAGCGCTGGGCAGAGAGCTCTCCTCCTTCTCTCCTCCTCCGTTCTGCCCCGCCGGCTGAATGCGCACGCGCGGCAAGAGCTGCGCGCGCATTCAGCCGGTCACATAGGAAAGCATTCATAATGCTTTCCTATGGACGCTTGCATGCTCTCACTGTGAAAATCACAGTGAGAAGCACGCAAGCGCCTCTAGTGGCTGTCAATGAGACAGCCACTAGAGGATTAGGGGAAGGCTTAACCCATTAATAAACATAGCAGTTTCTCTGAAACTGCTATGTTTATTAAAAAATGGGTTAACCCTAGCTGGACCTGGCACCCAGACCACTTCATTAAGCTGAAGTGGTCTGGGTGCCTAGAGTGGTCCTTTAAGGTTAGATGGCACCTAATATCTCCAGATCGAGATGAAGTTGTTATGGTGCCTGGAGTGTTTATTTAATTTACATGAATTCATAGTTAATAAATAGTTAGTGAATAAACACTGCAAGGGATCTATTACTGACCATATTTGCTGGTCTTTCGTGTTCACTTATGTGTTATCCCTCCCCACATTTACTCAATGCTATTGCTGCTTCGTATCAAACAACCCCTGCACACATGTTCGTTCAATATCAAAAAAGATAGGGCTGCCCTCTACCTCGGCTTTTAGTGCTATGGGACCTACCAGAATATGCATTGGCTGACAGTACATTGCAACTTCTACACAGTTGCTGCTTATGCAGGGGACATTCTTTTTATATATATTCTATATATGCATGTAAGCATTTACAAAGCAACTCTAAATCCTTGATGACTCTTTCTAGTTTCTGAGTAAATTTGCCTTACTAACTTATTCATCTTAAGCTGCAACCTTTTTTTTTTATCATTAAATACCTAAGCAGTGGCCGATCCAGGGCTGGGAAGCGCCAGGGCAAATGTTTTCCCCCAATAATCTAGTATTTATGTCTGTCTGGTGTCAGGGACTAACTGGAGGGTCACCCACACTCTGTCCCCAAACTGTAATAAAAGTAAATTAAAAAAACGCCATAGCCACCACTTGGTAAGCCTGCTACACATATATGGGAAAGGGGCATTTGATTGGTCATAGTTGCAGATGCTACATGCGTGCATAAGTGTAGGTATTTGTCACTGCATGAATATTTGTGCATCTGTATTTGTATGTTTAAATGTGTCGCAAAATCCAGCAGTGACCCACCGAGTTTTGGCTGTGGATCCAGCCCTGTACCTTAGAATAAGAACCTAATCACTAATCCCAGACTTATACAACCTAAATGATACCCTGCTCCTTACCGAAGCCAACACAGATCTGGCCGATTGGCAGAAAAAAGGGCATCGCCTGACTAGGCCATGTGGCTAGCATCGCAATGAATCCGTTACCTTCAGATTAATACTTGTTGCACGGTGTGTCAATTCTTATTTATATTTTCTTTTTTGCAATAGACAAGCTTAAAAATGAGACGTTGCATATTATATCCACACTATACAAGGCAGTCAGGGATTGCCTCTGTATTACTAATACGTGTCAAAGCTCACACTAACACAGCAATGACATGACAATCTCGCAGTTAACAGATAGGTGGCCTTTATGCATTATTTGGAGAGAACTAATCGTCTATAAATATTTGGTTGCCAAAACAGTATTATTATTATTATTTTATTATTTATACAGCGCCAGCAAATTCTGTAGCACTGTACAATATATCAACCCCTTTTCTCACCCACTTGCCCGTCATCGGAGACAGGCATCGCCATCTATAATTTCATCTTGGTTCATTTCAACTCACCTTTCACTTTTTTTCTGTAGCAACATATTCCCATCAGGTACGCTACATCAGGGAAATTGAAAACATGAGCATTTTTGAGATTTCTATATCTTTATTTTGAAGGACAGGTTTGACAGTTCTCCCATTATATTACTCTCTTATTACCTTTGATTTATTTTAATATACTGTATATTTTAATATACAGTTATGACACTATGCCAATATACCTGATGTTAAATCAGGACGCTCCCACCTTACGGTAGATTTCTACCATACTGTATATTCTTAATTTGCCTTCATTACATTGTCTCCTGAGGATACACTAAAGTATGTTAAACATTACAAGTGGCAGACTAAATCTGAAATAAAACAAAAAACGAGGATTGTAATGTATAGCCAAATAGAAGCCTGAGCAACTGCCGTGTAATGTTATATTAATATTGCAATCAATTATTACTTGAAGAAATAGGACAAGGAGAACATAAGATCCCAAACCACCACCAAACTTGTGGGTTGCAGATATCCCTGGACTGCCAATTAACATTATTGGTGCATACTAGACTCTGCGTAGATCGCCTTTAGCTACAAAGTCTGTTGAAAACAGGAGATTGATCTGCAAGGTTTCAGGCCAAGCCACTGATTAAATATGATACATTTCAGCTGACTTGGGACTAAAAGGAACATTAGAAACATTACAGTTCTCATTCTCGAAAGTTGGCATGACAGTCAATATCTAAAAAATGTAATTTACGTACTCTAATTTTTTGTACTAGTGGCCACAACTTTAGAATGCAGATCATTTGCCCTAAAGGATCCCATTTAATTCCTTGTAATTTTCAGATGAGGAAAAAACAAAACATGTCTCTTGAAACAGTGATGTTTCTGCACTAGATGCCTTCTTCTGTGTTACACGCAAATGTTCACAGTGTCCAGGCAGGAGAACAAGCATCATCTCTGTCATTATCTGTCTTAGTTAATCTATAACCAATAACAGTGTAGGAAAGATGATGCACTAATATGCATATCTCCCAACATAGGAAGTTATATAATCAGGACATGGGTGGGCAAGCCTAAAGGGGGCAGCCCACTGACACAACCCTTGTCACAGGAACTGTCCAAAGGTGGCATACACATTTAAATGTTATAATTACTGAATAATAGGCTTAGCTACTCAGGATTAATGTGGTCAATTAAGGTTTTATAAGCGTTTATAAAATACAAGGTTTGTTCTATCACATGGTGTATTTTCTTGATAATATGAAATTCGGAATTGGTATGGATTGGTGTTTAATAGCAGGCCCTCACCAGTATCATAGTTCCACTCTTAAGGTAAGTGATAATATCGCCCATGCAAGTACAAATTCGTCCTTGCTATGGCTTATAGTGGCGAGTAGGTTTTAATGCCTGGCTAGTAACATAGGACTTCAAATTGTGAGCCATACATAAACAGTGCTTTTTGGACTTATCATGGTATGCTTGGAGATTGTCTACTGTATGGCTGCATTTTTTTTTTTTAATTCTTTATTTTGGCGTGCAGTGAGATATCACATTGATGAAATACAGTAAAAGAAGATAACTTACGCAGAGGTAAAGATGGTATACATGAGTAAAATACAGAATACGTCACCTACACACAGGTTAACACTGGCAATTATAAAGAAAATTAAATAATATGCAGAAGAAAAAATGACCGCACTTTTTAATGTAAATATACGTAGGTCAGCGTTTCAATCACAAGATACTTAGCAACGCATTACTATCAATCCTGCAATATGAGATTGGTTGTTAAACAGAAGAGACTGCACTCTACAGCTGAGTTTTAACTCCAAGAAAGTAACATCATCAAATACGGCAGTAGTTTTGGAGCAAATCAAGGTGGGTTCATTGAGTATAGTTCCAATAAACAAAACACAACAAAAACTAAAGATGAACAAAAAACTCCCAGCATAACTAGCTTTTCGAAATGTACATCATAACAGGTGAGTGGCAAAGACGTCGGCAGTGCTTAAAGGTCTATTTTAAAGGGATATGTGTGATGTAGCCTGTTTGTAAAAGGAAACAACCTGTTTTCTCCTGTCATTTTAACAAAGAGTAATTTGCAATAAATAAAATATAAATAAGTCTACAAAACACACAAGAGATACAACCAAACTAAGATAGCCATACATCAGATACAGAACAACAATTGGGTCTGGAAAGCACTGGCTGATAATCCAGTCTGGGATACTTAGAGAGAGATTAACAAAAGTGTCGCCATTCAATTCAGAAAATTAGGGCGCTAATCTAAAAGCAATGCAATCACCATGGAAATACAATTGAAACAGCGGGAACATTTCACTGTAATATTTATGAATCCACAGCTCCAAGATTTGTATTTTGTGTCCAGCAAACTCTGATGGTTAAATATGTTCGGCCTAGTGGATTTCATGAATGGCTGCATATGAAAACTTTACCAAATACTAGTGTGGTGTCTGTAATGTCTTAGAACATTTGCTAAATATTTTGTAAAAAGATTAATTATTATGGACATGCATAGCATTTGGAGTTTTTGTTGTTTGTGTTGAACTGAATATCAGTGTCAAAAAGTATTTTCTGAAAGCAACTGCTGGACAAATAAATGCAGCCTGACAGTCTTCATGATTTCTTTTTAAAGTAAAACACAAATCCACTTGACTCGTGTACATTCATGCCAACAATATTACCCAGAAGCACGTGTATCAAAAATGTGATAACTGTTCCAGCGCTTAGTGGGTGAACCATGTCTCTTCATCCAAAGGCACAATTTTTTAGTAGGAAATTTTGGATGGAGTCAACCTCATTTATAAAGGAATACTTCTGGCACCATAACCACTACAGCACTCTCTAGTGGTTATTGTAGATAAACCAATTTAGAATGGTTTGACTTCTTACCTGCTATGGTTTTGTGTGTTATATATCCCCATGAAACTTTTTTAATAGAACTACCATTACCACTTTGCATCTTAGCTCTATTTTTGTCTGTTTATATGTACTGTGCACTGTGGGAGACAAACCGGGCAGGGTCTAACTGCTGGCGGTGGATGATCCCTTCCGGTCTTAGGTACTACTGTCACCTACTCCAAACCCTTACCTCAGATCAGAGTGGGAACGAGAAAACGATAGATAGAACAAGGAGCAAAGAGTTACAGCATTCCATGTCGGAAATGATACATGCACGCAGAAGAGGATTTGTTGTTAGTCAAAATAAAAACATGTTCTGGTTTGCGAGATTTTATTTTATTTTGTTTGTTCATTTATTGGAATAGCAAGATAAAAGGGTGTAAGCCGCTAAGCAGACATTGGCTATCATAGTAAACAATGCTGTAAGGAGGAATTTGGAAGGATATATGAGGGTTCAGTGATTTAGTTATTCAGTTTAGTTTACAGTAAGATACAGCAGTAGTATGCAATAAACCTGTCCCATTGAATCTGGTTTTTATATGCCAAAAGTGTTTCTCAAACTTTTCAAATTTTAGAATGGTTTGACTTCTTACATGGGGTATGTCAGTCGCCACAACCCAGGAAGCCCAGCTGACACTCTCAGGCAATGAGCTTAGTTCAGAAAAGCTAACTGAAGCTCCAGCTTAGGTGCTTTCAGCTCTCCAGAAGGCAGGGAGCAGAGCCCTGCACCCCAAGTAAGAAGTCGAACCATTTTACAAAAGCTTTGACGGCTTACAATGTAGGATTCCAGGGCATTCAAGGCACCATAACGACTACAATGTATGGTAGTGGTTATGGTACTTGTTCCTTTAAATCAGAACTTTTCATGTGCTTATGAGATCAGCTATACTATATCCACATAGTGCTTCATTTCTACAAACTGGGAATTTGGACACACAAAAGTGATATACTAGATAGGATCATGCCATTAAGTTGTACTATCACTTTAAAGGTTTGAGAAGCTGACAATCCAGTGGAATAATGTCATTTTCCCCATGTTTTACTTTCATTTGATACAAAAATAACCATCCCTAGAATGTCATGGAACAATTCTAGTATTCCTTTTTTTTTTAAAGTAACTATTAATAGCAATAAAGTGACAACGTTCCATCTCTGTTTGTAGCGATGTTTCCATAGCTACAATTTTACTTGAAACTCCATGGACCGAGCTTGGTATATTCTTCTCTGATTTTAAGGAACTTGATTTAATGTGTTTATTAAAGTGTCATATTCAGATGATTATGTTAATACCAACAATGCTTGGCTATATTCAGAGCCCTGTTGTTTATGCACATAATTTTAGGTTCAAAAAGCCCAAAGCAAAGGCAGATATAAAAACATGGCAAAATGCATATTTAACAATGCAGGGAAATGTATAGCATGTATTTAATTATTTAATGTTAATAATTAATAATAATGAATATACACTCAGTTTTAGAATGTGATTTAGATTGTACATGTAGTATAGTAATCCAATTTCTGTCTATTTTGTTATTTTTTTATTATTATAGACTTTTTCCCCAAAAATGTATATTTAAGAGAGTTCCAGCAAGTGGCAGATATCAGCCCTTTTCTGTTCTTTCTGGGATTATCCACTATGTGTTAACAGACTGAATTGCAAAACTTAGATGAAAAAAAAAAGAAGGCCTCAATCTAATTAGCTTGAATCAGCATCTGTAATAAACTCATTCAGTAAGAAAAACTTTTCAAATGATTTATCCACAAAAATTCCCATATACTTTAATGGTGACTTCTGTAGGCAAATAATTGGAAAAAATTTTTTTATTTTTTTTTTCCTAACAGGTTGTAATCATTTATGATGCCAATTTAAATAAATTAAATATAGGCCTACGTTTGAAAAATGGCAGATTTGGAAAATGTGTGAGCTATTTTGGCGTAAATTCTTCAATTTGGTTACCAACCTGCTACAAATCTCTGTCTGCTGGATAAACCCAGAATGGAACCTAACTATAATCCCATAATCCAGTACAAAGTCTAAAATTGATAACTAAACTCCAATAATCTGCATATAAACATTTATAGAGATACGGCAAGTTTGTCTTATAACAAATACCATATGTATTTTCATTTCTTCATTAGATAACCGTTGGTGAGCAACTAATAAGAGTTCAGTATTCTTGTTGTGTCTGACTTTATAACACAGCTCCACGGCAAAAATACTTCTAGTAACGTGCCTTTAAACTACGATAAATGTGTTTAGAAACCAGTCTGTGTAAATAAGATACACTGTTCTTACATTGTTATTAATAATTCACCTAACATTTCTCAGCACAGGTCTTCCCCATGGCCACACCTCCACCCCTAACATTAAAGTATCCATTTTGTCCATTTGAAATGTTAGGAGGGGCAGCATAACATACATTTCACGGTCATATCCTGGCGTACTCTAAACGTATGTGTCTTTGGCCAATGCAGTTAGCTAATAACAGGAATTCTGGACACCGAACACTGGATGGTAGAACTTGTAAATTCCAAACATACTGAATTCAAACCATGCGTCCATTTTATTCTAGAACCCTAATCCTACACCGTGACCTAATAATTGTAATCTTACTTAGCCCCATCTACACTCACCACCAAGTGTAAACACCCAACCCATAATCACAAGAAGAGATGTGGCCTCGGAAACCTTATTAAGGCCTGTTATCTGCCAAAGTACTCAGGTGTACTCCAACATAACACAGGAAGTACAAACCCATCATAATATAACGTGCATATAAAGAGACTTAGTAGATCCACAACAGTACATGCTGGAGTAGAACAAAATTAAAGTAAATAATCAATGTACTGTAAGTCATTTCACAAAATCCCTTTAAAAATGAATGTTAAAACACACTGCTGGCAAAAAGGCGTTTTAACGCAAAAGTTAAGTCAAAATGTATTACACGTAAAGAAGCAGTGAAATTGTTAGACCAGAAATCAAACAGTGCATTCTGTTTTTTATTTCTTTTTTTATTTATTTCTGACAGAAATAAGCAGTAATGTCAAACACAAAGCCGTGTTGGCTTATTGTTACCTCCAAGAGCTGGGGTTTTCATTTGAAATCTCATTGACACACTGAATGGCTGCATGCATTATTTATGAGCACATGAAATGTAGATAGTTGAGTGCAGGAGCAGCAAAGTTGCAGGTCATGAGCCGTGCATACGTTCAGGGCAGCAGTTACACAGCAATGCATGTTTATAATTTATTGCAAACTTGGGCTTCACTGACAAGAGGCATATCTACTGAAAATAAAGCCTATAGCAAGCTCCCCTTTTGGCCCCTGTCCAAACATCTCATACCCATCTTTTTGACAACTTTACTATAAAATCAGCTCAAAAATACAAGTTTTATGTAATGTGTATGGTGTGCACTGGCTGTAGGTGATGTGTTGTGTGGTGTATGCTGGCTGTATGTAATTTGTTTGGAGGGTGCTATCGCTATGTAATGTGTTGTGCTGGCTGTATGTAATGTGTTGTTCTGGCTGTGTGTAATGTGTTGTGCTGGCTGTATATGATGTGTGTGGTCATGCTCTGTTAAGCCCACCCTCTTGCTTGGCTTTTTTCAAGGAAGGGGGCCTATAATCCTTGGTTGTCCAATGGGGTGGTCATGCTCCTTGGTTGCCCACCAGGGGTTAACTGTGGTGTAACAGGGGTTCTGGGTTCCTGATGGTCCAGCAGGGGAGTGTGAAGTATGCAACAATGGTGGATGCAGAACTCAGTAATTGCTTTTTCAGCATTTAGCGAGTCAGAGTGCAAGCTGGGAACATTCTGCATTCTGACTCACTAGATATTGCTGGACCACATGGGAGCCATTATAGAGATCTGCACCCGACAGAGTTGCAAACCTCATGTTGCCAGCTTTCATACCTCCAAGACTAAAATATTAAAACAAGTTGCAGACGCAGTGGCATCCCTTTCATGTGGAAGGTATGCCACTGTCACTAACTGTACCCAGTTATCCCCAAAAGGAAGAAAAATTGCATGAACAATGACCTATAGACCAGTGGTGTGTTTTCTGTTTTTGCCAAAACTTAGATTTCTCAGTTAACTCTACATACTGGGAAATAACATGTTCAATAACTGGTGGTGTCCCTATTACATTTTAATAGAGGGCATGAGAATATGTTATTAACGAATGTTCAGTCCAGGACAGATTTGTGCTAGTAGAAACATAGATTTACCAGTTCTTTCACATCAGATTACCATGGACTCCCAGCAGGTGCCATTCAACTTAGGCCTAGGAGCAGCATACTCAGTAGTTACCAATCTAGGCCAATGCATAACCAATATGGAGTGCAACTGCTTGTGGAGAAGAGGCCAATGTAGGCCAATACATAACCAATATGGAGTGCTGCTGCTTGCGGAGAAGAGGCCAATGTAGGCCAATACATAACCAATATGGAGTGCTACTGCTTGCTGATCAGAGGCCAATACATAACCAATATGGAGTGCTACTGCTTGAGGAGAAGAGGCCAATGTAGGCCAATACATAACCAATATGGAGTGCTACTGCTTGCGGAGAAGAGGCCAATTTAGGCCAATACATAACCAATATGGAATGCTACTGCTTGCGGAGAAGAGGCCAATGTAGGCCAATACATAACCAATATGGAGTGCTACTGCTTGCAGAGACTAGGCCAATGTCGGCCAATACATAACCAATATGGGGTGCTACTGCTTGCGAAGAAGAGGCCAATGTAGGCCAATACATAACCAATATGGAGTCCTACTGCTTGTGGAGAAGAGGGTTGTCACACTACTGCTGAGGTAAAGCGTGCCATTTTATATTATATATTCTTATATATTTTGGCATACATTAATTATCAGCAAAATATCTGCTACTTGTTAATTATAGAAAATGTATACTGCATAGTTGCATTAAAACCTTGACAGCCTTGTATCATGTATATTTTTCTATAAAAGCTACCAAATAAAAAATATTACATGGAAGCAAGATAGACACTCTGCTTTATCTTATATTAGCAGCTACTAGTACAGACTAATATATTTCAATACGTACACAAGAGAAAGGTCACACATGAATACATATTTTAAAAAGTAATTAAATCCTATTTTTCTCTAAATGGAATGCCCAATAAACATTGAAATTCTAAGAAATAAGTCTTTATTGTTTACACATAAAACATGTATTTAAAGAGTCACTTTAATCCAAAGATATGTTTGTTTTTATGAAAACATTGTAATCTTTTAAAGCTAGTAATTTAAAATTATATGTTCACTGTACTGTGGAGCTGAAAGATATAACTGTGCACTTTAATTATATGTGGATAATTTCAAGATTATATTTCTTTAATATATTCATTGATGACAGTCTTCATTTGCAAGGCACGGAAACATTGGTTTAATAATAACAATAATTAGTTGCTCCAATGGGGCCAGCACAGAGGAAACATCCAGGTTGTCCACCAGTCCTTAAAGTGTGTCACGCACTGCTTTAAAGGAAAGAAATCACAGAAGAATTATTCTCTGTGTTGAGTATATATATATATATATATATACTGACGTGTAATTTATTTATTTGTTAGTGTATATGTCATAAGACAATATGCAAGAGACTCTCAAATGAGAATAAAGGGAAAACAAAAAC